AACGGTCCCAGACACAGATGATCTTAACATCATCGGCCATACAAGATCTGAAAGGGGTACTCTTTTTTAGGACATATTGGGCAGTTATACATACTCTGTATAATCATTTGATGAAGAAGTTGCCGAGATGTGTTTAGCCTAGAAACTATGACAATTGGCCTGGGTTTAGCGAGCCTCTCTTTCATACTCTCCACGTGCAAGTAACGTTTGCAATGACGTACTGTTGAATCCCACTGGAATCTGTTTACAGTGGCGTAGCTAGGGTGGGAGGGGGGGAAGGAGAATGATAATTTGAAAATTCCCCCGGGCCTCCACTTGAGGGGGGCCCCCTAATGAGTGTTGTTGTTTTTTTACATTGAATATTAAATATTACGCAAAATGTAAGGGTCCCCAAAGAGGCCAGCCCCCCCCCCCCGATCCCAAATGAGGGCAAATTTCTAGGTACGCCCCTGGCTGTTTACCATTTCCTTACTGCCAACTCCTCTTTTTTTTAACTTTCCACGAGGGTGGCACGGTTACGTCGGGAAAAGAGTACTAAATAAGTCTTGACAAGAACTTTACCTTAGGAGTTTGCATTTTGATAATGTTCATGAACTTTCTCCTGTGTAATAAGAATAGGGTAACGTCAATATGGCTGCTTTATGTATTCAGTGATCTAAAGATGAGATAAATTTTCAGCCGGATGTGACTGTATATGCGGAGTTATTTCCTTTCTTACGTTTTGTACCCGGTTTTTCTCCTACTTCCCATTCTCGGATCAAGTTGAGGTTTTGCACATTTATTCATAGTCATGAATCCTTAAAAAATAACACTATTAGTTCATTAATTAAGTGGTCATTAATCAATGTTATTTAGTAATTGCTACACACAAACCTATTCCTAATTAACTATGAACAATTTTGTAACTTCGCTCTTTGTAATGAACATGAAAAACTGATCTTATTTTCAGTGGCGTAGCTAGGGTGGGTGGAGGAAGGGGGAGAATTTGAAAGTCCCCCCGGGCCCGCACATGAGAGGGGGCCCCAAAATGAGTGTTTTTTTTACATTGAAAATTAAATGTTACGTAAAATGCAGGGGCCCCCCAAAGAGATCAAGCCCCCCGGGTCCCCAAAAGATGTAAAATTCCTAGCTACGCCCCTGCTTATTTTGACCACTAGCTTATGCTCCTATATGCTCCAGCGGGAATATTATAATGAACAGTGTTCATACATACAACTTCTCAATAACCTTGACTGCTCAACAGTATTATATGGTCTGGATGTGGATGCGTTAACCTGTTAGTCTTGTGTGTTATTGTAAGTGACAGTATAATCTGAATAAACCACATAAAAAATAACAAGGTTACAAAGACAGTTTGTGTGGAAACATAAACTTTAAATCGGCCCCCGAAGTGGTCCACCCAGGCATGAAAAAAAAGGCAGGTTTCAATATTTTCATAATCTGAATAAACCACATAATAATAAATAAATAACAAGGTTACAGAGGCAGTTTGTGTGGAAACACAAACTCAAAATGTGAAGTGTGATGTGAACCTGGCCTAACTGATGTCTTATAATGAGTTTCCAATTGATCTAATTGTTTTGTAAAGGGTAAATCTCTTATTCAAAGTCTCAAGAAAAAACCATTTCCGTAAAAAAAAAATCCCTTTAGTTTTGTTTTTCATGATAGTATCATAGCTCTGCAGTTCACTCGATAATATGAAAAACCACTTATTTATTGTTGTTTTAAATTAGGTCCAACTTATTTGCATAGTAAATAGATTTTTTCTCTTTAAAAAAAAAGTTAACATTTTTATTTGTAAATGTAGTAGTTAAAACAAAATTACGTAAGTTACTATACAATTGTAAAACAAAATATATTTTTTGATCAAAAATCTAAAACCATTTGCATGAATATGTTGAAAAAATGGTAGATGGTCTTTACTCTTACTAAAAAGCCTCCCATGTTTGTTACTATTAATAGTGAAGAGTTGTTAAAATGGTATATTTTTTATGAAAAAAACTGCTTGCATAATTGATTTAAAAAATTAGATTTTTTCGCGTTCAGAAAAAGAAAAAAGTAGCCATTGCATCAGAACTTTGAATGATCTAAAATATCATGATATCCGATTTTCATTTTCTCTTCTAGTTTCTGAGATCTAAACTGGACGGACAGACAGACAGGCCACACCAAATTAATAGCGTCTTTTCCCCTTTCGGGTCCGATAAAAATTGAGACATATTGCAGGAATCTCCATACGTTCCGCCGTGTTTGTTTTGTTATTGTATTTATTGTTGTATCTATTTTTATGTGTTTTGTTGTGGTTCTTGTTGTTTTGCATATTTTCTATTTTAAGAAGAAGGACAAATAATGAATTGGGTAAGAAGTCTAAGGTGCTGAGAAATGAGATTTGTGACACTCGATTTAGAGTCAACAACTAGCTGGAAGGGGCGGACTGGGTGTCAAAATCGGTCCGGCCATTTCTATAGTCAGGCTTATAAATTTCATATCCAATTATTGGCATGCCTGCCCTAAAATCAATAGTAAGTTTCAGTATCGATAACTGTACACATGCATACAGTGAGCTCTATATTTTTGATAAGAACTTTAGGTCTTATGTTGCTTTTTAATCCCTCAGTGTGTAGCCAGGATGAAACCCACTACTAGTAGCACTGTCTAAGGATGAAGGTTATTACTTTATTTCGGAAAATTAGTATTTCACTGTGGAGAGATTTCTTTTAAACATGATGCTCAGAAGACCGTTTTCATAAAAAAAAACATTATAAAACTTTTAACAATTTACTACATAGTGGCATCCATGAGGTCCTTTCGGTGGTCCTACCGGCTCATTCAGGTACCGGCCCACCGGGCATTTGTCCAGATGCGCATATAGCCAGTCCGCCCCTGCTGGACAACTATAAAGTTAGGGGTAATTGTTCATCAAAGCCAACACTACATTAGTCCACACGGTGCTGCGCTTCTCACATAGGCTAAAATTAGTTTATTAGTCAACAACGGTCTTTCCTTTGTTTCTACATATCGTAAAGTCTTAAAAACACCAATCGGTTTGTACTTCTAGGCAGGCAGTTCATAATTCATTATCCAAGGAAAATATTTATCAAACAGGGAAGAATTAATAGTCCGTTTTCCAAAGCGGGAAAAACACACCAGCTTTGATTATCTAAGAGGAAAGCTAAATTGGTATCGTTGTCAACATTTTACTGTGTATTACTTCCCGGTGACTCAGCCTGAGAGAAACAATACTAGTTTTTATCGTGGTGACAACTTTTCAAGACAATTTTTCAAATTCAATTTATTGATAATTTTTAAACTGTTGCTGAGAAAGCAATCTAGAAATAATTTTAAAAAAAAAACAGTGCTTATATTAGTGGAAGAACCGCGCAATCACTGCCGTATATCTCAATACAAGCTGTAACTCTCTATTTCTATATAAAGCAAAATAAATTAAGTACCATTAAATGATTAACTACTTGGTATTTTTTTATTTTATTTTATTTTAGGATTGTTCACATTTTAAGGTTTAAATAGTTTGTGTCTTTTACAAGCTCTAAAAATCAATAATAAAAACAAGCGTGCAGGTTACAGTATAGAAATATGAGGCGAACTCCCCATGGTTAGTGCTGCCCTCAGTCACTTATAGCGAGTGGGACCCAGGAACGAGGCGCGATGCGCTGTGTACGCGGTACGGTCGCCTTTACTCGGTCCATGGCCGTCACTGCTTGAGGCCTTCAGACAGGACTTGGGGGGATGAGCTCTCTGTCCAGGCCTGTTTGTTGGATAAAAGCCTTTCCAACGATCAATGGAATAACGGGATGATGACAGCCTCGGCGCCGATTCCCTACTGGACTTTATCGAAGGTTCTGTTGATGGCGGAGAATTCCAGCATCCATTGCCTCAACATGGCGCCTCAGTGGATAAGAACGAGAGATAACATGGCCTCCACTGGGGAACCAGAGTACGTCCCAGCAAACCTGCATTGTTCGGTGGCAATGTGAAAATGGCTCGCTGAGCAGGTCACATTCCTCGCACCGTTCCCCAGAAGGGGTAATGGCCCTCCCAAGGAACGCGACGGTACATTATAGAAATAAGGAGCGTCCACTCGTGGGCTCGGCCTCCGGCCTTCACATAAGAGGAGGAGCTAATGTCGATGGCTCAAGGATGACGGGTGTAAATAAATGATCACCTTGTTGATAGGAGCCTCCCAACAGAGGCGTCAGTGACGAGCTAATGCCTCACCCTAACCACGAGATTAAAGCATTTCCCGTGTCAAAGAGTCATAAAGGGGAGTAATCTCGACTCTTAAAGACACTTAAGTGAGGTTCTGTCTCTATTGAATTAACTCCCTTTCAGTGGAACCGTGATCAGTTTTAAGCTGCTATTTAAATATATTCGAACACTGTAAACAATATTTTGTGTTGAGAGAATGGGGGTAATTTATCAATGTTGTAAAGTAGAAATGGAGAACCTCTAAGCGTGACGAATTTGGTTTAATTTTATTCAAGATTGGTTTCATTGCTTGTTGTTACACAAAGTTGGAACATGGGTCACGAAGGGACATGGGTCATCTCTTAGATATAAGAATGTTTGGGCATTAGCTATGGTCGTAACGATATCCCTTATACAGCAGTTCTCACCACACCACGCAGCTGGTGTGTCTCATGGACGACAAGTGTTGGACACAGCCAGGGTCACAGAGGTTTGAATTCAGAGTGGGTATCCCATTATGACTAACTGGTCACTCCTGCCAGGAATTTTTTAGTTTACAGATAGATAGATAGATAGATAGATGGATAGATAGATGGATAGATAGATGGATAGATAGATGGATAGATAGATGGATAGATAGATGGATAGATAGATGGATAGATAGATGGATGGATAGATGGATGGATAGATAGATGGATAGATGGATAGATGGATAGATAGATAGATAGATAGATAGATTTTTTTTTAAAGTGAATATTGACCTACTTATAAACACAGCAAAAGAATAGCATGACTTTTAAAATGTATAAAGTGTAAATTTATTTGATGTTATCTACATAGTAACATCTTGTTATGTCATTGAAATACATTGTCAATATAATACATTTGTTTTATTGCAATACATAAGGAATGGTGGTTTATAAATAAAACTTAAGGCATATTAGTTGTGAATAATATAATGAGAATTATACATTTGTCCATTAAAATAAAGTACTATTCTATTGCTCCTGTATTATGTATAATAGATTGTGACACACATTTTATTTGAGCAAATGGCCATTTAAAAAAAGGTAGCTGGCCTTTTGCATATTTTTTCCTTTAATACATAAATATTGATAATAATAAAACGTATATTAATTGAATAATATGTGCGGGGGTTCTATCGTATTGAGCTCTGATATATGACTAGAGAAATGCTCGACAGACTAGTACACGTATTTAAATGTTCGTTGTAGAACTTTCTGACGTTCGTTCTAGGGGAAGTAAAAAAGGATTATCACGTGCTTTCCCAGACTTCCTGCTGGACGTTAGGGGATGACGGCAGACGGGGCTAGGACTCTGAATCATCATTATGGCAGTCCGAAGCGCGTACCACGTGACCAGATAGCCACTCCTGGTAGTATGGAATGTGTATGTTTACTCTTATGTCTCTAAGCAAAGGACTTAAAACTTGTTGAGTTATTAAGGGCTTGAGATAGAATTCAGATCAGGTAGATTAATATCTAAAACTTGATAATAATAATAATAATTATTATTATTATTTAATTTATAGATAACATTACATACATTAACACGAGAGTTAAAAGGACCAACTAATCGAAAAAAAAGTTTGAATGAGTTTTTAATGTTCTTCTTGAATGTAGTGTAACATGTTGTCTGTCTGAGACCAATGGGGAGTGAATGTAGTGTAACATGTTGTCTGTCTGAGACCAATGGGGAGTGAATGTAGTGTAACATGTTGTCTGTCTGAGATCAATAGGGATTTCTAAAGCAATAAAGAGTTTAACAAGAGAACGTTATTGTCTAGCCCAATTAAGTCTGAGAATCTCTGGGTGAACTTTCGTTTGGTATGAAAGAAGAAAGTGAATGTTATGTCCATCAGATGTTTATACAGACATAGAAATTTGATTTCTACTCTAGTTTTCACTGTTTCCGGTTCGTTGTCTTTGTTGGTAAAGTCCATTGCTTTTATTTTGTTCGTATTTTTGTCCGAGTTTGAGTTTTGAGGGCGCTTTTTGTTTTTCAGGCAAAGACTCGCCTCTTAGCTTCTGCTAACAAAGTATTCATATCAGTCAGATGCCTGCACAAGCTGTTACATCTGTGGTTATTGATCACTCTGACTATACCATCTTCCCCATCATCACGGTCACAAAAGTCTTTGGTTAACGAGTGAATTACTGGAGTGGTCAAGGTGAATTTAGAATTATTGCCCACTGACCCCTTCAGACTGCTGATTATATAAAGTCCTTCGGTGTGAGTGAAAAAATAGTGAATGAACGCTTCCAGATAATTCTCTTGAAAAACCAAGTCCCCATGAGTCAAGTCGGAAGAAGTCGTGGATGCAGAATCAAACTCAGGTGCAGATTCCCAAAGTCTTGGCTGAGTTCCCCGTGCAGGGGGTGATAATTCTGGAGAAGTGAAGAGCTTCACTTTTCCAAGAGCCTCTGGGTGATTTTCCGCAAGAAGAGTGTTGAACCTGAAGAGTTGAGCTGCCTCGGCTGCGTCGGCTTCACTTTGCTCATAGCTTGGTGGGTCGCAGCTGTAAGGTGGTGGGCTGACACATGAATGTTTGGTCTCAGCGTGCTCTAGGCGGCCGACGGTTAGATCACATGACGCTGACGACAAAGCCGAGGCTGACCTTTTTCTCAAGGATGATCTATTTTTCGTTGAACTGTACTTTGTTGAGGTCAAACGTTTACCATCGACTCCAATGAACTCTTTACATTTGGACATTTTCTTTTCATACGTGAAAAACTGACCTTCTTGCCTCTTTCTGGAAATGAAAGGAACCTCGTGCACCCGCGCCTTATTGACTTCGACGAATCGAACAGAGCCGTCCTTGACATTGAAGCCAAGCAGTACTTTGTTATACTTCTCTGCAATTGGGGCAACCAGGAGAGACAATTTCTTTTGTGTTTCGGCCCACTCTTGAGTTGAATTAGTTCGACTGAACTTGGCGACGATCCATTCCTCTTCAATGCCGCCGTAAAACCTTTTGCCCTCATAAATGGTGACAAATTTATGATTCTTGCTTAGGCAGCCGTCGAGGGAGATTCGGTTGTCTCCCTTTTCCTTCGGGGAGGAATCAACGCAGTAGGATTCTATAGAAAGGTTTAGCCCCATACTGTTACGGTTAATTACGGAGGGTGGATCTTTAACGACAACAGGAGCTTTCGCTTTCTCTTTTGATGAATTTTCTTGAAATTGGACGAAGGCTGGACCATACAAAAGGCCAAGGTCACCTGGAAGACAATAAAAAGAGATATTGTGGATAAAGTGCATGTTAAAAATTGTTTTCGGAAAAGAACATGGATACCAAAACTAGTTTTCAATTAGAGTTTCAAGTTACCTTTTATAAACTAATGACAAAGGCGGGGTCTCAAATTGTATCGGGTATTATCCATTTCTATAGACACATCGGCTGCGTAAAGAAAAGGGGGGTGGGGATTCGTTTCGACCATAGTTAATGCCTAGGCTTTCATCTTGTTACATGTACGCAATGATCCATAACCGCTCTACGACTGAATTAGGTCAACACCCACATATCAAAAATAAGAAATAAGTTTGATGTAAAGTTTAACTATAATAATAATACTAGTAATAATAAATTAATTACAACCTGTACAAAATTGTTTAATTACAATAATACATTTAACACAACAATAAAAAGATTTTAAAATGGTTTTTTGTTATTTGTTTAAAATAAATCATTTTAATAATCACGTCAAACCCGCAGAAATAGGGAATCGCTATACAATTTAAAAACACAATACCCATTAGTGTGGTAGGAACTTTAAAGGGGGATCACTTTTGTGTCATATATTATGTTTCGGGTGTCCCTTCAGAAATGAAGATGATTACATCCTAGTTCAAACCTCCCGCAGTGCGGCGGGGGATTGCGGAAGGCTGGGTCCGAACCCAACCTATTACCATCGAGACAGTAGTTCAGCATACCACAGGGGTCAGGACCAGGCAGTCATCCATTTTTCCAAAAATTGATTTAGAAAATAAAAAGAAAAAAAATTCTCTATTGTTGATTTTCTACATTAATACATTTATTTCCTCTTTAAAGAAGATACTTATATATAGATAATTAATGCATATACGCATAGATCTGGTCTCTGTTTTGAGCTATCTATCGAGCCTGAGCTAGCCAAAAAAAACATTGACTTGGCAGAATTTAAGTCATTGGTTAATATGCATGACTAAATGCATGACGCGTAGGACGTAATCATCTTCTTTTTTGAAGTAACGTCTATATTATATAAGATAAGAAGAAGATCTCTATCAAATATATAGGTCAGAATACGCGTGTTACTGATATTTATCGGCACACTGCTAATGCAATCGATTAGATCTATTTACTAATTAACTAGGTCTAGGACATAATGATAATAAAAACAATAAAATAATGACCAACTAAAGTAAACTATTTGATTAAATACAAGTCATACGTACAACAGTAGTGTGAAATGTAACCGTAACAAACACTTAAAACTTTTGAATTGTTGTAGTCTTTGAAGGGACTTTTATGTAGCCTGTTTTCATTCAAACTATTGGGAATTCCCTATGCTAATGCTATTTTTGTAACAATAGTAGTTTTGGGATAAATCCTATTTTTTTATTTTTTTTTAGAAACTGAATCAGAAAAGTTTATACGTGTCTGGACCATAAAGTTGGAAGCGAGACAGGCATTGGCGTATCCAGGATTGGGGGAGGAGGGGTTCGGGGTGTTGGCTCGTCGATCTAAGAAGAACTTACACAATTTGTGCATAGCCAGGACTTGCGTGACTCTGAAACTTGCGTGTATGTTTCGAGGGCTCTTGTTTGTCAGATGTTGAAGTCATGTAATCTTGAATAAGCTGCAGGACATTTAGCCCTGCTGTCCAGTCCCTAAGATCAGCCATGATGAGTAAATAATAAGCTTATGATTTAAATGATGTGCTTATTATTGTCATTTTTATTTGTTTTTATGTTGTCTTTTGAAGCGCTGTGGCTGGGTGGTAAAGCGCTTGGCTTCCGAACGGGAAGGAGGGGTCCCGGGTTTAAATCACCCCCCCCTCCAGGGTTCGAATCCTGTTGAAGACTGGGATTTTTAATTTCGGGATCTTTAGGACGCCCCTGAGTCCAACCAGTTCTCAACGGGTACATGACATTAGTTTGGGAAAAGAAAAGGCGGTTGGTCATTGTGCTGGCCTCCAATTCAAGAATAGAGTAATCAAATGAAATTTGAAAGCTAATCCTTTTTTCTCCTCTATTTCTTTCCTTTTTTTTTTTTCTTTTTTTCTTACATCTTATCTTATCTTATCCTATCTTATCTTATCTTATCCTATCTTATCTTATCTTATCCTATCTTATCTTATCTTATCCTATTTTATAAATTACAACCATTCCTTCAAAAGAGAAGATAATGACATCCTACGCATACATTATCTACGTGTCAATCTAGTCGTGCATGCTAGACACTTAAGCTCAGCTAACTCGCTGGTTTTCCAGGCTGATTCAATCACCACTTTTTCAAGCTCTAATGGCAATATGGAAGAAAAAGCACTTTTAAGAATTTGTCTTAGCCTATGGAATAAGAAAATTGCCTTTATAATGTGTGTCTTTCTGAGTAATTTATTAGGTTGTGTTTTTGTATTTGTAAGTTATGGTTCAGTGTTTTATGTATTAGTGCTGCTTTATCTGGCAAGTAGCCTACTCAAAATGAGTCCTTCACACATTCAGATATCCTTTGTCTTTTTTTTAAACATTGGGGCACTACATGTGATCTGTTGACCCTTTCTTTCCATAATTCTTTGTCTCTCGCCAAGAAGATTTTATCTTTTTATTGACAGGCCTGTCTGTTCTTTGATTTAGTGTTCCCGTCGCTTCTTTTGTCTTCCTCTTCTTCTTTTCCCTGGTACTGTTCCATGTAGAAAGGTCTTCGCGAGTCCTGTGGATCTAGTAGTATGGCCGTAGACTCTGTAAAAAAAAAAAAGAATTTATACCCCAACACATTTTTGATCAATTTTGTAATGTATGAGAAGATGCACGTGGTTTATTAACTCTTTTTCTCCTAATTGACGACACCATCGTTGGTTTGAACTCATTACATTAAATTAAGGTTTGACTTTATAAACTTTTACATAATAAGAGCAGGCATTCCCCTTTAACTCTGTACCAAATAAAACATTTTCTGATCAAAAACGAAAACGTTACTGAAGCTTTAAAAAAAAAAGGATGTTGAACTACTACTGAGCAAAATAAAGAATTCTGTCAAAACGTGGAAAATAATTACGGAGAGAAAGAGTTAAACGTTAGAGCGTTTTATATTACGGGTGATAAGTCTCATTTTAAAAATAATCTTTCACCAGGGCCTAGGAAGTGACCAGGGCCTAGGAAGTGACCAGGGCCTAGGAAGTGACAAGGATAAGAAGTTACCAGGATAAGAAGCTAACAGGGTCAAGGCAGAGACTATGGTCTTTTAGAAGTGACCAGTGTTTAGGTAGTGACCAAGATGTGAAGTGACCAGGGTAGGATGTGACCAGCTGAGCAGAGC